CCCCTCACTATAAGTACGTGTTTGTCACACTAACGCCACTTTTACAAGCTGGCTCAAGATTTCATTATTGGATTTAATTCTCAATTCTAATTTTTTTAACTTTTTTTTTTTTTAAAGGATTTTCTGCCTTGCCAACTTTGTGCTCTGTTAAGGATTATATTTTATTTATTTTATAGTTATCTTTAACCACTTGAAGGTATCACTTACCTGACTTTTCTTTTCTATAGCTTCAGTGGTGTCCCTGCTAATTGTGTACTGCTCACAATGGTAATTAAATATTTTTCCTTGTAAGCAGCATTTTTGTTGTAAAAAGCGACTTTGTGTGTGAATGGGGGGCGATTTGCATTTTCCTAACAAAAAAAAAAGCCTCAGAAGACAATGGGGATGAGCAAAATATCATTCAGATGTAAAGAGCATAAATATTTGTAAGACAGGGGCTTTGTGAGCTGTGAATGGCTCCCGGCCATCTCAGATCTTTTTTTTTTTTGTACAAAACCTGAAGACTGAACACAAGGAGTGAACTGCTATTGACTTGAGTTTATTGAGCACTCTTGAGAAAACTGCCTGAAGTGTCCCTCTCTCTTTAGCAAACATTTGCAAACTTCTTCCACGTGTCTTTGTTGACTGTTTTTCTTTATTTTTTTTTATTATCAAAGACACCATCACATTAAGAGTCAGTTTTACTTTTTTATGTGGCTGCATGTTTCCAACCAACAGGAGAAGAACTATTTTGCCTGCAGGTAATGGGAGAAAAAGGACCCTATTGTGGTAATGTATATATAGAGCTTGTATAGTTAGGGGCAATCAGGGTAAACATGAGAATTAGCAGGTTGATTGTATATAGTGCTACTGGGCCTGAAGCCTTTACAGATGAGATAGATAGATAGATAGATAGATAGATAGATAGATAGATAGATAGATAGATAGATAATATATAGATAATAAAGATACTCTAAAGATATAACATGGATATAGGAAAATAGATAGATAGATAGATAGATAGATAGATAGATAGATAGATAGATAGATAGATAGATAGATAGTTTGATAGATAGATAGATAGATAGAAA